GATCCCGGCTGGGCCGCCGCCGTCGCCGCGCGAAAATGCGATCCTCTTGATGGATCGTCGCTTTTTCGACCCCTTTCCTAGCTCTCTTCCTTCCGTTCCTCGTTCCTATCGATCGATACTCGGTTCACTGTTGCGACGACTACACGATTAAAGTAACCGGATGGACCGTAACCAAGAAATAGTTTGAGAATCGTGGAAGTGGGAACAGAATCGACAAAACTGATAAAAGAACATTGCGCATTATTTTAGAGCTGAGTACTTTTGTTACAGCTGATTAGAGCCGAGTGATTTAGCGATCAGGTAGTTAATGTTTTCGGTTTCCGGTTCGATAATTTCACCGAATAAAGTAATATGCGCTCTGCTTTAGATCATATTTAGTCAAGGATCGCGAAATAAAAATTCTAAGATTCGTTTCATAAATTAGATTCGAAGCAAAGGAAACTGATTTCAATAGAAGTCTGTTTAGACAATATTCAATATTAAAATTAATATAGTAGGATCTACGTACAGCAGAGTTACAGGAAAGATAATGTGTTCTGATATCGAGGCTTTCATTTGCTGATTGAACTTGTACTATTTCTCGTCTAACAAGACGTCCCTTAATCTCAACCAATCCCGTACATCCGTTTGGTTTTACGTCACGTCGTGCCGTGGCGTAAAACAAAAATGTGAAAATTGCCAGAAACCACGACAGGCAAGCTAGAGGATTTTCCAGAAATCGAGTTTATGCAATTTCGCAAGCTCGTGACTATCGACAGTTGACGTGAATCCGCGCGGAGGAAGACGTGGGAAGTGCGTCTTCTTCCGCACAAGTTGAATCGAGGTTTCATTCATTCGCCCCTCGTCTGTGTTGACGTCATTAACGAGACGCGACTTGCCGTGTTCGTCCCTTGACGCCAGATTTCTCTTTCATCAACTCTCAACCAACGAACTCCTTCCGTGGTACATCGCGTCACGTTCGCCGGGTGAATCATAATTTACGCGTCGCGTCGTCGTCGTTCGCGGAACAGTTACTACCGCCCCTCGTCCTCTTCCGTTTCTTTTCCGCCCTGTGAATCGATCGGCGACGAATGCGACGCAATTTCGTAAAAACGATCCCGGCTGGGCCGCCGCCGTCGCCGCGCGAAAATGCGATCCTCTTGATGGATCGTCGCTTTTTCGACCCCTTTCCTAGCTCTCTTCCTTCCGTTCCTCGTTCCTATCGATCGATACTCGGTTCACTGTTGCGACGACTACACGATTAAAGTAACCGGATGGACCGTAACCAAGAAATAGTTTGAGAATCGTGGAAGTGGGAACAGAATCGACAAAACTGATAAAAGAACATTGCGCATTATTTTAGAGCTGAGTACTTTTGTTACAGCTGATTAGAGCCGAGTGATTTAGCGATCAGGTAGTTAATGTTTTCGGTTTCCGGTTCGATAATTTCACCGAATAAAGTAATATGCGCTCTGCTTTAGATCATATTTAGTCAAGGATCGCGAAATAAAAATTCTAAGATTCGTTTCATAAATTAGATTCGAAGCAAAGGAAACTGATTTCAATAGAAGTCTGTTTAGACAATATTCAATATTAAAATTAATATAGTAGGAAAGTTAAGGAAAGAACGTTCATTAGAAGTGAATTAAGTATTGAAATGATGGCCAACAGGTTTTATTATAATTCACTTTTCATATTTACTTAAATTAGTAGCTATATTTGTGATCTATAATAAATATTTATTTCATTCTCTCGTCAAAATAGTTGAATTTCATATCGGTAGTATACTATAGCATGCAAACGACGTGTGCGGCACCTGCTACATAAAAGCTGACTTTGAATGGGTTTTCTGTTACTTTTGTTAGGCTCGTATTTCGATAAATTCTCCTACCCGCTTCCAAACAGCTACTGTTACGCACAAATATGTGTTTCCATAGCTGGTGATACGTTTTCTCCTGATTTAACTGGATTTATAAGCCCTCGTTTCCTCGTATATCACATTGATACACGCGCGGAAAAATATATGTATAAGCATTCCACGTTAAAAAAGGAAAAAATAGAAAAGAACGTAATACGTCGAAATTTATTAATATGTTGCGACGATTTATGGCGGTCCTTTATTCGTAACGCTGTTCATTAAAGAGTAGAATTCAGATAAATATGTTTTATGTAGATTCTTACATTATAACATGCAGGTATCATTAATCTACATACTCTAAACCTGTGGAGATGTACCTCATTAAGGAAAGTTGTTTCATATTAAGTACTATTTATTCTACCATCGTTTCATCCACGTTTCATATTTGATAAATAACAAATTATTTCAAACGGAATAGCGAAACTCACAAATTTTCATTAATTTTCCCGTCGTAACGCAAACGTCGAACGAATCGTACATCGTGATCCTTCATTTGATAACCCGGAGCAACTCACGAGAAGAGTCTCAAATTAATTACGCACGTCTCTCCCGGGTATTACAGCGGCACGTGTTTATATCGTTCCTCTTATTAATTTCTACCACCACCGCGAATAATCTAGCCGCGAATTCCGTTTTGCGTTATTCTTCATAGCTACCGAGTGTGTTCTCGAAAGGTTTCTTCGGCTTGCGAAAGAATTTTCGCGCGATAGTATAGACTACAATACTTGGGGTGGAGGGCAACGAGGAAAGAATAAAGAAGAGGAAGAAAGAGAAATGAAAAAAGTATTCACGAGCGATTCTCTTATTTCCATGCTTGTTACTTTCCTACCACCTGCTCGCTTCGCGTAAGTTATACAATTCTACCGCGAAATTAATTACCGCGATACCATTAGCAGTGCACCGTGGTAAATAAGGGATTGAACATTCCTGGGTCGGTTAATGTTCCTCGCAAAATTAAATACGAAGATGAAACAAGTGGGCGCACAGTGAGTTCTTAATTATATAATTGGTGAATTTCACGGTTGGATTTACGAGTTGCAGAACGTCTAAAACTGTATGTTTTCATCGTATAATTAATAAGGATTACGAACCGGAGAAACGTCGCCTGAAATATTAAATCACTACTGTGTTAAAAAATTAAAAATTCCAGATCTATTACGCGCGTTCCATTCGCAAAACCGATGTAGGAAGATATTTTCCTTCGTTCTTTATGCTGGTATACTATAACTGGACATACACAGGGGACCTCGTTACGAAAATATCATGGAAATAATCAATTATACGGATTGCAGGTAAATCCGGATGCAAAGCTCGGCCATATAAAGCGTGGTTTATTCAAAAGAGCGGCGAGCCATCGATGAATCAGTCAGCTTTAATTCACGGTAAGCGCTCTCAAACCACTTCATTCCCGTTCTAGTTGGATCGCAATAAATGCAATTTAAAAATGTAAATTTCCTATGCGTCGTCTACCTATGAGCTCTCACCGTCATTCTTTTTATTTCTTCTCATCTTCAATCCACCGTGATCCAACCTCGTCAATTTTCGTCGTTCTTTTTTAGAACTTTTCTGCATCATATTTTGTGGTCGCGTATAATTTCTCATAGGTTCGATCATTAAAACATAGAGAATATAATGCATCGAGGAGGATTACGCGAGTTCGCGATTAAAAACAAATTTTCATTTTATTAGAATAGAAACTGATAACTAACGCCCGAGTAATTTGGATTTTTAAATTTCTTTTCGTGCATATGTCTAGCGGTATGCCAATGTTTTTTTAGCCACTGTGTGCACAGTGGCACGTTTCGAATAAACGAAAAATACTAACGGTGCGATGCAAGCGGACTATGCGTGAAAATCAGTAAAATATTTCAGCCACTTTTCATTCCGTTGTGTCGTCATGATGCGCCACGGGTCAAGTGCATTTTTTTCGACAGGCTCGTAAAAAATGCGCTTTTTGCACCCCTTCCCATTTATTGTTCACCTCTCACTCGGTTATATACAATATTTGCGTCCATGACGTACTTAATTTTAGGCTACCGAGTATTTTAAAAAAAACAAATCAGTTTTCTTTTTATTCTTTTCGACCGTTGAAGCAAAAGATTAAAATTAATTGCAAATTCAATGTTAATGGGGGAGAAGTGATTTAGCGTTGGGAAGAATTTATGGCGCGTCGAGTTAATGATTTTCTGCGACAAAATTTGTAATTCACTGTGGAAATAATAATGAAAGAGGCGCGAGTTTCAAATATTGTCGCAGCTATTCCGAGGAACGCGACGCGTTGGTCACCGTGCGCGATTATACGCATTACCGTTAATGCACTTTCGGCTTTAACAAACGCTAAAGCTCGTACGTATACGTGTTGTTAATTAACATTAAAGTTAATGCGCATTATCCTTACCTTGTTACCAAAAATATAGGAAATGTATAATGTAGGTTAAAATCTGGAGCGAGTAAATAATTAATAAAAATTAAGTACTGCGGTTCTGTAATACTATCCAGATTTTGTTTAATTAATTAGTACACCAATGAGCAATTTAACTTTCAATTAGCTATAAATACACCCTATTGACCCGCAGTTAATCACGGACCATATCCATACGTATAAATACGATATAATATTTAATTAATTCGATACGTTTCACTTACCTTCGTCTAGAAGATATCGCTTGGTTCGTAGAAATGTTAATTTCCGACGAGAAGCGGTCAATATGAAGAGCAGACGCAGCACAATTTGCATGGGAGCTTAACTACCCTCAAGGGGATAATAAATATAAATGCTCAGTTCCGAGAGTGATGTTACTTCATCATCGGTTAATTACGGGATACAAAATGGCCTGTACATTATCTAATTCACCGATGCATAATACTTTTCTACTTGTAATCACGTTAATAATGATATGCACAAAGGTTTAGAATGTTTAAACTGCTAAAAAGCTTTTAAGAGAAGGATAATTAAAAATGATGGTCAAGTCACGAAAACGCATTGAATTAAAAATGCAATGAAAAAACAGGCGAGGCAAGATGAAAAGCAAGTCATTCCTTAACCGCTGCGCGACGAATTTTAGTCGTGCTAAGATTAAATTTCTAACGTACGAACTCTTACCTCGTAATTTATTCGGTCGTGTGTTTGCGTTGCTCGTGAATCTGCCGGCGTCTGCGAATATGGAAGGTTAGGGAGACGTCGTCGCTGGAACACGCTGATCGCAGAAAACCTGTCGTACTCGCCATAATGAATACGTACTATCTCTATGAAAACCGTTCTTGCAACATCAGCTGCAGTGATCATTTCTTTTCATCCACGACCGTTATTAACTTTCCAAACACGCACGTAATGATAACGAGAAATTATTAAAGGAATCTTAGACCGAACATCGAAGAAATGGTTAATGGACCCCGGCACTTCTATCACACACAATCACATGCTCGCGAGGCAGCGTTTCATTAATTTATTGTTTGACGCCGAATTGTAAAGTCACTCTTGAAATGAAAACAAACGCGGTAACAATCTTGTTTTTTTAAAGCGGAAAACAGTATTCACAGCTGCAACTCATTGTCAGACTTCCACACGGTTGTCTGACTTGGTTGTAGGTCAGGCTACTTGTTGTTTACGTGTTACATATTAAGTCGAGTCGCGTTCGAGATACGTATCGCGTTTCACTTCAGACCGCCAGTGCCGATCCCGCCACTCCTCCATGTCCGCAGTTCGACGTAAGTACTCTCATCGTATATGCGTTTCGTAATTATATTGCTCGGAATTAATTGCTACAAAACTCTGTTCATTCTTAATATTGTTTTATAACGATCTTTGAAGCTGTTTATTTGTCGGATACGTGCAAAATCGTGTCATACTGTGGTGACGTGTTACGAATTACCGAAGGGAGTCTTCAGTTGTATTGTGCTCGTATTAAGAATGTATTTTACCTTATTAGATTTGATTTAGACGGATACTTTCTTATTGAATTACATCAGTTACGATGTTTATTTAATCTGAGAAACGACAAGGTGTAGTATGAATTATCGGGAAACGCGTGTCGATTAATTTTGGTGGCTTTGTTTATTGCGCGGGCGGATATTAAGTTTCTACGGATGCGTGTAACTATTTTCGGTGTTGTATTAACATTAACACGTAATAACATCTAGACAAGCCAGAAAAAGCGCGACATATCAGGATGCACGTTCGGTCCTTGTCGCGAACGTATCGTGCACAGTCGAACTATCTTCGTTGCGCGCGCAACGCGTGCTGTTGACCCATCGTCATGGCAACCCGCGACGAGTCTACGCTCCGTCCAAGGTGGACGGACTGCGGCGGCCTGGTGCGACCGAACAGAAGTCAGTGCACGCGCGGACGTCAAGCCGTATGTTTACGTACTATTCGGGTTTCCCGCGACGTTTCACTCCGTCCGCGTCGTCCGTACCGTATCCGCCGTCGACGCTTACAGTGTTTGTGCCTCTGTATCACTGGACGAACTGCAGACAGCCGAAGGGGATCATCCGTCGAAGCCCGTCGTTCATCATCGCTGAAGGGATCATCATGAAGTGACTGCTGGCCGACTAGATAAACAAGGTGAGTACACACTACTTCTTAATTGAATTATCATACATGGACATACTGTATTCATCGACATACGCAACAAAGCAGTCCTTATGTTTTAATTGAGGGAGAAATGATGGCGTAAAGTAATGAAGACGCTGCAAAGATTAGATGTGCGCGTGTTAAGCTTAGTGCGAACTTAAGTTAGCTCACGCTTACGATTGCCAATCGTGAAATTGACAAAACTGGTAAATTATTAAACTTTTTACTTTTGTGAAAGGCCCTGTTTGTTTTTGTTCTACATACGTAATTAATTTGTCGTCCCGTTGTTTATGGTATATCGCTTATCGTTTTCCCTTATAATTGCGGCCGAAAGTTAGGAATAGAAATAAGTAGTTTTCGCTGATATGGGATCCGTTATCGTATCGATATTGCATTTGAGGAAACATTAAGAGTAAATAAAGGTATAGCAATAGCAGTAATCTCAAAGTGGGTGCAAAACGCACAAAAAGAAATAACTTCAATTTATCCAGAAGTTAATTAATCGAATCGATCAATGAAATCAGTAAGACAGGCAAGTAGGACTACGATTATTAGAATGCGAAATTAATGCTAGTTAGAAACAGTATCGGTTTCAATCGGGATGTGCTACTAATGGAATCGGATGTTTCTCAAGTAGTGTGGTCTCTGTCAACCATCGGTTGAGTGGTTCGTTCTGCTTTTAGTTTTGAAGATCAAGTTAGAAGCGGGTGCGTCGTTTATCAAGTTACGATGAAAGCGGTGCTATCTTCGGGTCGGATGCACTTTAGTCATTTTTTTTCGCTTAGCCACGTCGTTCTGAGTTTGGTTCGGGCAAAAAAAGCTCTTCATCTGATGCATTCATTCGATCGAATCTAACGTTGTTCAAATGGACGCTACTAGGTTTCTGGACTTTTTAAAATTCGGGATCACTTTTCGTTGTAGATAAAGTAATGGGGCTATGGTCTCGAAAACGTATTATACTTAAATTGCAAACGGCATAAGTTCATATAAAAATCATGCATATACGCGAGAGGGATTTTTGTTAATTCGGAAGATAAAATGTTACAAAAAATGTTTTAATGTCAGTTACTGTAGACTTTAGAATATCCATTCGCCGAAAAGTCCATTGTGAGAATTTTCTGCATACTTACTGCTCTTAATTCAAACATTCTTATCTCCTACATGAAATTAAGATTTCTCTGTAACATCCAATATCTTCTTCACACCGAAGAGCAAGTCAATCATCATTTCTTCGTTATTTACGAAAGAAGGACTAATTTAGGAAACGAATGAAATTAAAGAGCTAAATCATTAAATGTTGAATGCTGTAATTCTAACTACAAAACTGAAATCGTTGGATCTAATTATAAGTGGTCCAAGGGTATTTTGCGATGGAATATAGCTCGATTTAAAAGATTTCGCTAAATTTCGTTTCTACGAGAGTTACGAACTTCCGCTTTTGTAGATGTTTCAAGGTTATCGTCATCGCCGGAGACGCGCTGCAATCCAAATATTTCCCTTCCGAATAAACTCGACTCCCCCGCTTTTGTTCTCGTCTCACCCTACGTGTTCAAAGGGATCCGTGACTGTTCAAAGCGAGAAGGAGACTTCTGGGTTCCTCCAGTATTCCTTGCACGATTCCTCGCGTACATTTGCATCCGGCCCAGCTCCGTTTGTCCATTTACGCGAACGACAGACAAGAAACAAAACTAAGAAAACCGCTTTTTCCTCTTCGTTCAATCGAGCTTGGCACAAAATTTACTTTTATAATTTTGTATAATTGTGTTTTCAAGTTAAGAATTACAGTAATATTTCACATAATACATTTTATTTTAATATTGTTTGAAACACTAGATGCAAAAGTAGAAATCACTACTATTTACTTTCTCGTAGTTTCTTCTTTATACTCCAAGATAACAACTGATCGCCTTTCAACACTAGGCTATTCTCTCTGTCCGGATCCGTCGTTCGGATGAAAATTAAAGAAATAGAAGAGAATACAGGAGTGCGATCGGTGCGAAAGTTGTTTCGTCGTCTTTCGAAGTCAAAGAGGCGAAGTCTCTCGTCTCGTTACCGTGAGAGACGAGAGCTATGGCTTTCTTTTTTCCTTTTATCCTTTGTTCGTCTATTTCCTACTTGTCCTTTATTGTGAACGAAGTGAGAAGGGAACGGCGTGGATGGTATTGAGCAAAAATATGATTTGTCTCGATGAAAATTGTCTCGTATCACTGTTATTTCGATTACAGCTTCGATGGCTGACCGATCGACTGCGTTTATTTGGGAGACGCTATTATTAGACGGTATTTCTTTGACTATGTGCGACTCGCATCAGTTGGGAGAATGACGAGTCTATAAGATTAATGTTAACATGTTGCCTTCGTAGTCTATCATTTGTGTTTATCACAAAAAATCACTCGTGCATTTTTTACTGAGGGCAGTTTGAACATTTTCGTACACGAAGTTGTTTATATTAGCAGAACTTTTAACACAGGAGTCACAAAGGCACATGTTTCTCCTGACTTTTCGTACATGGTTAACATTGCTTGAAAGGCCTCTGTTATCTCGCAAAGAAGAAATGCATTGCTCTACATCTAGAAACGGAGGAATCCTTGCGTATTTTGAAAGCACCTGGTTTTACAAAGCAATTGTCCTCCCCGTATAATGGCCTCTTTAGTATTTCTCCTTACTCCCGACTTCATTGGAAATGATAAATCTCATTGCCACGTGAGAATTTTCGTTTTGCTATATGCTCTCACTTTTTGTGGAAATATCGAACTTTGGCAATAAGATTATTTTTCCGTTCCGTATTTAAGATCAAATGAATCGTAATATTTATAAGAAAATCTGGATCTGTTCCAGTACTGGTAAACTCGCTTGTTTTTTCCTTCGATGCCAGAATTACGTGATCTGTGCTAATAAATTACAAGGTACCATACCACAGATCCACATTTAAAACGAAAACATGTTATTTTTCTAACGAGAGTACGTTTTTCCTTCCATCGATAAACAATCCATTATTCCACCTAAATATCTTTATTCTCTCTAGTCCGATCACATTGCTAAACTTCATTGTTAGATTTTACGATATTAACCCGAACTTCGTGGAAAGAATAACCTTTAACGTACACACAAACCGTGAAATGAATTTTCGCATGGTTTCAATTTCGTGGAAATCGATTTCGAAAATTCATAGCTCGACCGGGACCAAAACATACGGGTTTCGTATCCAAACGAGAAATATACGATCCCACGAGGAGGGTCTATACCCTGGGAACCCTTTGAAGCATTTTTATCCATTAAGTTCTACGCTTTCACTTGTTTTATCTGCGAGATCGTAAGGTTGACGCAGGAAGCTTTCTAAGCCTAAAAATAAATTACTCTTCGCAGATCCTCCTCGAGAAGCACGCGGTTTCCCTTGCACGGTGGTGTATCCACCAGCGTGAGCGAAATAACTGCAAATATTTTCTCAAACGGATCGCGTCGGCGATTTTTCAAATATATCTGACCAAACTATCCGGCGGCGGCGGCGGCGCGATATTCCGTCGTACTATTTGCAGCGGACAGTGGAAAAGCTTTAAGCTCGATCTGGCATCGGACCAATTTCGCGTCGATCGCGGCTCCGTACACGTTCCACCGTTTGTCGAACGAACAGGGCACCAGGGGATGGGCAGAAAAAAAGGAAACGGAGCTCGTGAATAACCCCATTGGCGTGTAATCACTACACGGAAAATGTCCCGAGGCGCTTTATTAAACCGATACCGAGTTTTTCGACCGAGTTTTGATTTATCGACCGATTTCAACCTCTTTTACCGCATCAGTAATATTATCTCTGCGCGGTACCTTGAAAAAATAACATTCCTCTCGCGGCGTACGCAACTGGGTTGGGACGTTAGTTTAGTTCTCACTGTCTTTACGAGAGGCAAATATATTTCGGTTTAAAAAATAATTGAGCGGATATACGTATATGCATATATAATTCCATTAATGGTATTATAGATTTGCTTCCACGTAGTGAAGACAAAAATTCAA